CAAATTACGTTATACTCGTATTAAATGTATACTAGTTTCTATTCCTTACAATGATTTTTAAAAGAGTTGGGCTCCAAATTTCTGCGTTTGGGCATGGTAGCCTACTGCTTACAATTACGAACTCCTGAGCGCTGTGTCACGGGTTCGAATCCTGTCATGAATAAAGACCTACCGCTTAGAGAGGCCTGGTGCACGTTAAATCTGTCAACGCTCAATGACCTCCCATTAGTGTGGTGTGACAATTAGGAAAGTGATTCTGTGCTCAGGAGTCGTACTTGTAACTTGACCCAGTTTCAAAATTGCCAGGTCCACCACCAATAACCCTAGTGTTGGCTTACAGAGCGACGTTAGAAAACTCTCCCTCACTCTTCCTACCCGTGAGAAAAAAATTTTTTGTTTACCATTAAATTTATAAATGCATTATATAGTTTCTAATAATAATAACAAAACTCCATATTTTCTGTTACAAATGCAGCTCTAGTAAATTTTAAAGTTACAAGGTATGTTAAAACAGTATCCGATCTTTATCCATAAAAAAATATCTCAGTTACTTTCTGTGAGTGATTAAGATTCTAATCAAATTCTAAGGAGACCCCTTGAGCACTCACATACTTAACCCAGCATTCCTTCCATGCCAAAAACATTTCTGGAAAGATTCTTTTGGAATTTTTTTAACCCACCGTCACGTTTTTCATTATCTCATCTCTACTTTGAAAACGGAATCCTTTCAATAACATTTTCATTTTCGGGAACAGACACAAGTCAAAAGAACCCAGGCCTAAGATAATGTCCCCCAGTAGATAATGTCTACTAGGTCCTGTACAACTGCATGATGGAGCTTTTCTGCTCCAGCAACAGAAGATTGGGAACAAATTTCGTAGCTGTTCTGCGCAACAGTCTCTCGTACGTTTACAAGACCCCATATTACATTCTCAGAATTTCCACCTTTTCAACAACAGCTGTATTTCGAGTGATTTGTGGCCTACCAGAATTCTGGTTCCTCTCTACCGACGTGTGGCTACTTTTGAATCGGTTAACACCCTCCTTAATTTGGGTGACCCAAGTTCAAGTTGTTGAGTCATCATTAGAGAAACAAAAATCTTACGAACATGTATAACAACACTTTACTCGATTTCTTGCAGGAAACGACTAGTACACTGGAACTAAAGGGAAAACTTCAAGCATGTACATTAAGCTGTTACCTCCTACTGTGCACAGTCACGGCGTTTTAGAATATCTAATGTGAGTAGAAGATTTCAAGGTTGGATACTTTTTCAACAGACCTTGTATTAATGATAGAAATTTGAAATGATACAAATCTAGCGATAACATCGCAGACATAAAGGTTATAAACTAATTGACAGCACTGTATTATGAATTCAAGTCCTGGACGGATTTAAGATGTGTCGTGCACTGAGCTTGATATATCACCCCTTAACAGCCGAGGAAAAGCTGTACGAATCGCTACACACTGCCACCATTTTTCACACAGACACGTGTGTTATGAGGGGAGTAGTAGTAATAGGGGAAAAGACATAAATATGTAAGTCAGCCCTTCGTGAACACTGTCAAGGTCACTGTAGTGCATTTAAAAGCCTTCGAAATAGTAAGTTTTAGGGTATCCGAACACGTTGAAAATGACCAAATTCGGTCAGAGACATTTTTGTTTTTTATTTATTGAATAGAGTTATCTTTTAGCTTTATAAAACATACTTTATTTTGTTTCTACACTGCCTAGAGAGGCCAAGTTATACAATCCATTTTATAAAGTTAGAAAAACTGGGAGTGGGTCTTTGATCTTCCAGAAGTAGGCATTTAAATTGCTTAAATTCTATCATGGCGAGTCTGATAACTCAAAATGTTACAATTGTATTTCTATAAAACTTTTTGAATCTGATATTTATGTTATTTTCTAGAGAATGTACTAAAATATTTCTTATTGTAGGAATACTCTTTGAGATATGGCTTGTTATTTAAATAATTGTCTCATAAAGAATGTCATATTTCTTATTATGTTTACTCAATCAGCTGTAAAATTTTCAAATTTAAATAAAACAGTAAAATTTTAGTACATTTTCTAGATAAATGCATCTAATTTGTTTTCATAATACTTATTATTTTTTGTGTGATTGCTTTGAAGTTTTTCAAAAATATTGCTAAAAATTCACTTATATTTGTGATTTTTGCAAAATTTATGTAATTTATTGTAAATATTATTGGTTAAATATTAGTATCTATTGGCATAGAGTCGTAAAAAAGCAATATAATTTTTAAATATGCTATTTTGTTAAAAAGTACTTCGAACGTGTTCGGATACCTTAAAGCTAGCAGGGCAATGCAAGGGTTTGTAATTCGGAAAGTCATGTATAAACGCCAGGGAAAGTTAACCCCAGCTGAGAGAGGCATATATAGAGGCCTGCCACATCTAAAAGGTTAAACTTGTCGAGATCAAAGTAATCACGCTGGCATGGTAGGGAATATGGAGCCTAGGTTAGTAGCTAAAGTTGTCGCGATCCTTCCGTCGAAAGTGAAGTTTAGGACGCCGAATGAGCAGTGATTGTTTTAAAAATAACTAAGTTTATTTAATCTATAAACTCTCAATTAAGAAATGCAAGAAACCGATGGATAAGTTTTTAGTAGTCATCCCAAATTCCTACGACGTAATTATCCACTTAACTGCGGGTGATCTGATGTAACAGCACTCGTTATGTCTCGCCCGGGTCATCTGGATATTTCGGACTAAAGCTTCTTTTCAAAGACTATTAAGACTTCCTATAGTAACTTAACGAATATTCGAATAACTTAAATAGCATCATAACGTCTAACTCTTACACTCAATTTGTTAGACTTAAAACAGCCCTCAAAGTTATATAAATCATGGATTCTCCATAAGAAAAGGTTTTTTATAAATAGGTAAGAAATATTTTTTCCCAGAGGATTAATAAAAGGAGTGGACAAAACCCATCTCAAATGGCGCCTTCACTTAGACGAAATATATAATCTGCATCTGCTCTTTCAGTTAAGGCTATTATCCTTTTTTGCTAAATAATCACAATTGGAAAAAAATACGCTATACAAGTTTTAAAAGCAGTCGATGCTGTATACATTGGGATTCATTGTTCAAGCACTGATGCGTTGTGGAATAGTTCAAGCTCAACTATTGCCCTATATTTGATCGTATTTCAAAATTACGATGTTCATCATCAATAGTCCTTGTCTTGATTCAAAAGATAACGTTTATAAACAATGATTAAATCAATTTTACTTTATTTCATAGCACGCCTTTTAAAAGTAAACATTAAAGAATATCGCTTATTGAGGAAATCGTACTGATAGAAATTGACGACAGAATATATTGAACAAAAATCAGAAAAGCAACATAGAAACATACATTATAACGACTGAATGAAGAAGTATGGCTAATTCAATTACCTTTTGTATCTTCGACCACCCTTATTTTTATCAAACCGAAGTATTAATAACTGAAGTAAAATTATTTAATCATAAGCTTAGAGAAATCAATAGCTTATAACTAAAGGCTCCGTGATTTAAACCATTTTAAGGAAAAAATATTTCGTTTTCTTTTTGACGAAGTAATTATACTGCATCTGGTTGCTGTAGTCATTTTTATGATTAATCTATTAGTGAGTAAATAAAGATTTTAAAGTTAAATTTAACATTAAATTGAAAGGAAACTAAAAATTATGTCTATGCTACCTAATGTCATCCTTTAAATGCTAGTTATATCAATACAAGTTATTTTCAAACCCATTTCAAGCTCATCAAATTATAATTTTCTTTAACTCCTTTACTACCCTTTCATTCTTTACATTTAACAATCTCCTTCTATCTGTATATATGTTCAGGAAAGTAAAGTCAAAAGCAGATAATTTCTATACAAATATCCTCTCTAAGGTGATAAATGATTTCTTTTCTAAGATATTAAAATGTTCAAAGAAGTTTGATTGCCTCTTTCAAACGAGACATTTAAAATGCGATGTTGATTAAACAAGTTTTTTATAAAAATGAATTATATAAATAGTTAAAAAATAAATAATAAAGTAGTTTACCATCAAAAGATTTTTACTTTAACTGAAAATAATTCGTTATGAAATATTTTATTATATAGTTAGAGTAATGGTTATTTTAATGTGATTATGATGTGTTGTTTTTTAAACAATTTTAAATCCAATGATCTTTATTTCGACTTTTCCCGTGTTTCTTTTAGTCCTCAAAGTAATAGAATTATTTTCGTTATATTTTTAATAAGAAACTCGATATTCAAAAGCTAAAAGGCCTAAAACCATCGACAGTAAATTGTTTTTCTGAAATTCACAAATCCCTAGGCGCATCCATCAGTGATTCAATATATCAAAGGAAAGAGCTTTCGAATATAATGTTAATAATAAAGAAAAGTCACTTATTTAATATTGTAAGCTAAACAACTATGAGAACCATGGGAAATTAAAGAAAATTAGAATTTTCTGTTCTTGAAGTTTATTTAATGAAAATGTATTCGTGATTTTTTTGTAAAAGACAGATTCTTTCTATTCCTAATTCGAAGTTTTATTTGAAACTGTACCAAACATTTTAAAACTTATGTTTTTACAATTTTTGAAAAACATGCCACGATTGATGAGAATGAAATGAAGTAAAATCTCCTGCTTCTCTCTTTACATGTTTCATAGTCCAACAAATCAAAACAAAAAGAAATTGAAGCAAAACAATTAATATAAAAAAGCTAAGTCAATTCCTACTTAAGTCAACCAAGAAAAATTTTATTTTAGTTACTTTTTCTTAAATAATTACAATTTATATATAAAACACATATATATGTATATACATATGATAGAATCACAATATTAAGTGGACAAATAGAAAGCGAACTTCCATTTTCTTTTCTGTATACGGTGTGGGACTATTTTAGCTTGTGTGTTACTATTCATTCATTGATCACAAAAATTTAATTATTATAATAATACACCAAAAAAAGAAAAGTACAATCCCAGGCAGAATTCAAACCTACGACCTTCGGATTAGAAGTCCAACGCGCGCGCTATCCGTTGCGCTACTAGACTTACCGTTTATACATGCTGTTGGACTCTTATTTTTGTTGGATACGATTTATTCATTTTTTAATTTAATTAATGAATTGATATTTGAAAAAAGTATTAATATCAAGTATCATCCACTGCAAGTTTTAAAAAATATATTTGAACTTGAATGGATGAATAGAAAGTATATATTTTATTAGCGATTGTGGATATATTTCTCTGTAAAGCTTGCAACAACTACTCACATTCATACAATAAATATGTATTTTAAAAATTAAATTTCTAGAATTATTTTAATCTCTTTTTATGTATTCTACTATTCAATTTTATCAAATCTCGTTTTGCTAATCTGTCTAATTGATCAACGTCAAGTCAACAAAAAATTACGAACTTTCCTGGGTTGTATAGCATTGCTTTGGAAATTTTTTTATCTTCCATCGTGATACAACATTCACGTAGCACAATCCTGATTTCTTACAGAAATTTTATGGTTCTTCAGGGTCATTGCAACAATTCCACCCTGAAATTGTTATAGCTCCACTGTTTATGACAAAAAGCAACACGTCGATATCAATCTTTCGAGTAGTAATAAATGCATGCTCTTTTTACACATATTTTCAGCCCAGAAAGATTTTATGATCTCATAAACTGGTTTTATCCTTTTCCGAAGATAAAATTATTTCTAACAGAAAAATTACTAATATTTTTTAACTGAAAATGACACATCAAATTTAATTTAATTACATTAAATAGAAAGTTGTTTGTAAGAAGTTTTTACATCAATCCTTGGCTGTTATATAGCTTTGTTTGTAGAGCAAAAATAAAAAAAATTAGAGAGAGTAGAGCAAAAGTAAAAAAAAAATAAGTCAAATAGATTTCAGTAGCGTCAAGTAATTTTAGGCTCAAAATAATTTCTGAAACACTATTGGCTGGGTGATTATACTTTGATTTAATTTAAAATTGTGAATAGAGATTAATGAATATGTGAATAACATACAAAAGTATATTACCAGCAAAGAATCATATGCATGTGCTTTACGCTACAGCGTGTAAAAAAATTAAATATTTTTTTTAAAAAAAATCAAGAATTTTCCATGTTACATCTAATACACATACACACATAATAAAAATTTGTTATGAGAAAGGTTAAACATAAGATATGTCAGTTTTAGGACAATCTGTATGTTCTTTAAAAAATTGTAATACTTCATGCAGCGATTCTCAAGGGGGAGGTGCGGTAGCCAAGTTGTCAAGAATCATGGATGGCATGTCATGAGTTCAATCCCAGTACCACTAAAGACCCACCGTGAAGGAGAGCGATGCACACTTAATCTGTAGAGATCTCAAACGCCCTCACGTGGTGTGGTGTGGTAGTTAGAAGAGGGGGTTCCAGCTCTGGTGTCGTCCTCGTCACTCAAACGTGGTTCAAAATTACGAGGTCCATCGCCAAAAGCTCTCGCGTAGCTGAACAGTGCGACGCTAATGTACACCCACTCACTCCCTGGGGCGTGTCCCCCCAGGGAAGCTTAATAACTCTACGGGGGGGGGGCAAAAGCACATTTAAAAGTCGAAAATAAAAGATTATTTTTAAAAAGTTATTAATTTAATGAAAGGTAGCACAGCAAAATACATTTTGACATTAAGAAAAATAAAATGCACATTTACACTGATATAACATACTTATAAATGTACTAGCTGGTATACCCGTTCTTCGCACGGGTGAATCGAAAAATTAAACAATACAGACTGAAATATAAAGAAATTTTTAATGAGTTAATTTTACGTGAATTGTAAATTTAAAAAAGAAAGGTTTTTACATCTCTCAACGGAACAAACATATTTTCTAAATTTTAAGTCTGTAGATATAATACCTGATAAAAAAAAAATTTTTTTTTATTTATAACGCCCCGTAACTCTCTTGTGGGTCGATTTTTGAAAACACCTTCTTTCTGCTCAGCAAAAGTAACACATTGTAACAAATTTTGTGTAATAAACGCTTAAAATAGTGTAAATAATTTGTATCTGGATGTGTAATGCGTTAATATTACTTTCTGATACATTTATTTTATGTTAAATAGCTTTTACCTGCGACTTAGTCCACGCGGAATTTAACAAAAAAGTATTTATTCAATTCGCAGAGAGTTTACGAAAACTTAATAATTATGTATTCAACGGAAAGAAATACCTATTCTATAAGAATAATGACATTCTTTTCTTTGAGAATCGATGTTTCTTTTTTTCTTCATTTTTTTTTTTTTTTTTTTTTAATTTTTGGTTTTTTGTATTAAATTTATTGAACAATCTCTCTATATACAACATTAAATTTAATGAAAAAATTTCTGTTTACAATATTAAAATTATCAATTTCAAAGTAAATAAAAACTGAACTATTTTAATGAAAGAAAACCTAACGAGAGACATTTAACATTGATTTCTAATTGTTACTTAACCCCTGCCAAGACTAGCATAAGGAGAAAGAAGCATTTCCCCAGGCCCACACGTTCTGAGAGTATACGTACGCACGGAACCGGGCAAATTTCCCGGTTAAGCCTAATTTCATTGGATATTGTTCACCATTTCGTTGGTTTAATTTTATTTTCGTGGAACGCTAAATCTTTTCTATAATAAAAGCAGAGTAAGTTCCTCCCTCACCTATCTGCCTTTGCAAGTTCCGTCAAAATTGGTCCAGCCGTTTCAGAGATTAGCTGGAACAAACAGACAGACAGATAGACAAAAAATTTTAAAATTCATTTTTTGATATAAGTACTGTACATACTTTTAAATGTATTTAGTGAAAACCTGTTAATTTTATAGTCAGTTTTATACAGATAAAATTGAAGAAGTGGAAGAGGTTAAAGAAAGATAATACACTGCTCAAAATAATTAAAGGATATTGCGGTTTTTGGAGGATCTTGTGGCTGGGAAACTTTTTAGCTGATTGATACATGGTCGACAGACGTAGTAGGTTATATAAGAATAAATTACACATGTTTGGCAGAAAAAAATGCATTTTATTGCGCATTTGTGTACAAAAAGAAAAAAAAACACAATTTGTGCATATGAGAAAAAAGAATAAGAAAAGGTGTTTTCTTCAAAGGAAATCATTTTTAGTAGGGGGTATGGTTTCCACGGACGGCCAGCAACGTTGAGCACCTTTGAGGCATAGAGTCAATGAGGCTTTTAATCATGAGTTGGGGTATTCTGTCCCACTCTTCCAGAAGAGCCCTTTCCAGTTCTTGGAGAGTTTGTGGGGGTGGTTGGCGGCCAGCATCTCGTCTTCCTAGAGCGTCCCAAACGTGCTCTATTGGATTCATGTCTGGAGAACACGCTGGCCATTTCATTCGTATGATTCCTTCCTCGAAAAGGAAATCCTCCACCAGGTTAGCACGATGTGGCATGCAGTTATCATCCATTAAAATGAAGTCATCTCCTATTGCTGCAGCGTAAGGGACTACAATAGGTCTGAGGATCTCATCACTATATCGGCGAGCAGTCAGAGGTCCATCTCGAATGATGTATATGTCTGTGCGCCCGTCAATAAAGATGTCACCTTACACCAACACTCCCCCACCGCCAAATACGACACTTTCGTGCACGAACGCGGGATTATTCCTACTGCCACGGTCCCTCCAGATGAAAATACGCCTATTATCCGGATGAACAGAAAAACGGGACTCGTCAGAAAAAAGAAGATTGCTCCATTCATTTCTCCTCCAGTTCACATGCTCTGTTGCCCACTCCCTGCGGTCGCGACGATTCCTTGATGTTAGTCTAACACATACCATCGGTCGGCGAGCATACAGACCTGCACCATGGAGCCAGTTTCGGAGGAGTTTTTTCAGTTTCAGTAGGAGCGAAGGTGTTGTTGGAGAAGAGTAGCGCTCATATTTCGGTGTCTCCTTGCCTTTAACACAAAATAACAATCTTCATTGAGCTTTGTTGCCCCTCTACGACCTTGTCCTGGTCTTCGGCTTGCACTTCCAGTCTCCAAAAAACGGTTCCAGATCCTGGAAATCACACTTTGTGACACTCCCTACTTCGGCTTGAGTTTGGCCCCCTTCTAACCTACCAACAATTCTCCAAGCTTCCGAATCGGTTTAATGACTTCGCTGAGACATCGTACTCATCGAAACTAAACAGTCACTGAATGCCGATCATCCTTGTCTTCATTTCTGTTGAAAGTCCATTTCATTCGCTGCCGCTGAAGCGACGTTTTTGACGTCGAACTCAAAATTAGCATACTCCACAGTTTAAAGATCAGAAAAATTTGCATTTGGGATTCTCTTCTTCCATTCTCGGCAAAAAAAAATTCGCTTATATCTTTATTTTATATAAAACTTACAATATCCTTTAATTGTGTTGAGCAGTGTATAATGAAGGTAATATAACTTATGACTTTAAAGAACTGTTTCAAAAACTAATAAATAAACAGATACACTTTTAATGCAGAAATGTCGTATATTCCTCTTTAATTACTCAATAATCATAAGGAAGTAATTTTGAAAAAAACAACTGTAGTTTCTCTAAATATACAGTAAAATACAGCGTATAACGCACACTTTTAACACAAAAAATATTATCGAAATTTAAGGGGTTCGCGTTATACGTCAGGTATAAAAATGGGAGCTTTAAACATAAAAAAAAAGGTGAAAAGAAAATTAGACTTCTATCTAGATAGAAATGCTGTTTATTTATAGGAAATAACATTCGTTATGAACTTAAAAGGTTGTAGTATCAGAAGTATACTATTTTTTTTTCAAAAAACTTGGGATAATACCTCCAGATAATACTTTGGGGTTATACTTCAAAACATTAGAGTACATTTTAGATTCTTATGGGGGTACGCGATGCATTTCGAATATGCCAAACAATTAAAAATTCCAGCCTAAAAGTATAGGTGCGCGTTATACGCCGGATTTTACGGTATAGGATTTTATGTAATTGTAAATCTTTTTCTTTCTTTTCTCGGCACTCCCTGAAATTTCAAATGGTCTGTTAAGCTCTCCAGGTTCATACTAATGTGT